CAGCTTGGAATGGGTGGTGTGGTTGCGAGTGCGATTGGGAACGCGAGTGTGTGCCATAGTACGCGCTTCCACCTGTTTTCGAACAGAACGTTAGAACACCATTCAGCGCGAAACATCTATATCAGTAAAACGTACCGGTGGTGCTAGCACCCGAACCATAACTCTCCCTCTCCCTCTCCCTCTCCCTTTCTCTCTCCAATCGCCCACCATGGCCATGCACTTGAAACTCTCCTTGCCCAAAAGAACTCGATGACCCACCGCCCTGTCCCTGTCCCTGTCCATGTCCTCCATGTCCTCCGTGTCCTTGTCCTCCATGCCCTCTTCCGGGGGCGTGCCCGTGCTGGCCTTGTCCGTGGCCCTGTCCATGACCATGCACCTGAGCGTGGGTATGACTATGCGCCTGAGCCTGAGCCTGAGCGTGGGTGTGGGACTGCGCCTGTCCAACGCCATGTTCGAAAATGGCATTTCTGCTACCATATCCGTGAGGCGCGGTGTCAAGCGCCATCGGCGTCTGCATGTCCACTGCCATAAAACTGGGGCTGGAGCGCCTCCTCCTACCCTCCCTCTCCCTGTCCCTTTCCCTCCGACTGTAATCCTGAATCTGGCCCATACGAGGCACAGGGTGCGCGAGCGAGGACGGTCCCGCCTCGCCTTCACGCCACGACGTAGCCGTGCGTTGCTGGTAGTATCCCACCTCCCTGCTCGACGCCGATGATGAGGAGGAGGAAGGGAGCGGTAGAGGTAGAGGGAGAAGTGGGAGGGGCGGAGGGAAGGTGTATGAGGTTGGAGGGTTTCTTTGTTGGTGGTGCGGGTGGTGCGGGTGGGATTGCTGGTGCTGGGATTGTGGGTGGTGCTGGGATTGCTGGTGGTGTTGGAGGTGCTGGTGGGAAGGAACGATACGTTGCTGATGCTGTGAGGAGTGAAAGGCGGGCTCGCTGCTGTAGATAGGGCTCGTATATCCCCTCTGGTGAGACGACGCGCTCGATGTCGGCATTGAGGGCGACGCCGCTGCGGGGTCGAGCCGGTACTGATGCATGCTCGACATGCTCGACGACCCCGCCGGCCCTCCTTGCCGCGCCATCGTTTCCGCACCTCCCATCCCGCTCCCACTTCCCATCCCACCAGGGAAATGACGCAGCTGCTGGTCTGCCGGCACGCCCATCGGGCTATCGTCGTACTCGTACGTGTTCCCATACGTGTTCCCATACCCATACTGGTACGAAGAGGAAGCGAATGAAGAGGAAGAGGAAGCGTGGAAGGAGCGCCGCGGGTCGAAGGGCGGGGCGCTGCTGAGCGGGGTGGGGAGGGAGAGA